AAAGCTGGTGAAAACTGATTATGGAAGGAGTGATCTAGATTCAGAAATATATGCATTAATTTCAACTCTTCTTTTAATAACCTCATTGTTTCTTTTCAGGTTCGAAGGAAGGCTGAAAAGCTCATAGGCTGATTATGAAGGAGGATCTAGATCTGTGAAATATAGCATGCATTAATTTCAACTCTTCTTATTAATAAACTCATTGTTTCTTTTCAGGTTCGAAGGAAGGCTGAAAAAGCTCATTGGCTGATTATGAAGGAGTGATCTGAATCTGTGAAATATCATAGGCATTAATTTCAACTCTTCTTATTAATAACCTCATTGTTTCTTTTCAGGTTCGAAGGAAGGCTGAAAGCTATATTGATTATGAAGCAGGATCTAGATTATGAAGCATTAATTTCAACCTTCTTTGATCTAGTTTCTGTGAAATATCATAGGCTGCATTAATTTCAACTCTTCTTATTAATAACCTCATTGTTTCTTTTTTCAGGTTCGAATGAAGGCTGAAAAGGTCATAGGCTGATTATGAAGGAGGATCTAGTTCTGTGAAATATCATACATTAATTTCAACTCTTCTTATTAATAACCTCATTGTTTTTTTTTTCAGGTTCGAAGGAAGGCTGAAAAGCATAGGGCTGATTATGAAGGAGTGATCTAGATCTGTGAAATATAGCATGCATTAATTTCAACTCTTCTTATTAATAACCCTCATTGTTTCTTTTCAGGTTCGAAGGAAGGCTGAAAAGCTCATAGGCTGATTATGAAGGAGTGATCTAGATTCTGTGAAATATAGCGTGAAATGCATTAATTTAAACTTCTTCTTATTAATAACCTCATTGTTTCTTTTCAGGTTCGAAGGAAGGCTGAAAAGCTCATAGGCTGATTATGAAGCAGTGATCTAGATCTGTGAAATATATATGCATTAATTTCAACTCTTCTTATTAATAACCTCATTGTTTCTTTTCAGGTTCGAAGGAAGGCTGAAAAGCTCATAGGCTGATTATGAAGGAGTGATCTAGATCTGTGAAATATAGCATGCATTAATTTCAACTCTTCTTATTTAACCTCATTGTTTCTTTTCAGGTTCGAAGGAAGGCTGAAAAGCTCATAGTCTGATTATGAAGGAGTGATCTAGATCTGTGAAATATAGCATGCATTAATTTCTAAACTCTTCTTATTAATAACCTCATTGTTTCTTTTCAGGTTCGAAGGAAGGCTGAAAAGCCCATAGGCTGATTATGAAGCAGTGATCTAGATCTGTGAAATATAGCATGCATTAATTCCAACTCTTCTTATTAATAAACCTCATTGTTTCTTTTCAGGTTCGAAGGAAGGCTGAAAAGCTCATAGACTGATTATGAAGCAGTGATCTAGATCTGTGAAATATAGCATGCATTAATTTCAACTCTTCTTATTAATTACCTCATTGTTTCTTTTCAGGTTCGAAGGAAGGCTGAAAAGCTCATAGTCTGATTATGAAGCAGTGATCTAGATCTGTGAAATAGCATGCATTAATTTCAACTCTTCTTATTAATAACCTCATTGTTTCTTTTTCAGGTGAAAGCTGGAAGGAAGGCAGTGAAAAGATCATATGCATTAATTTCAACTCTTCTTTATTAATAAACTCATTGTTTCTTTTCAGGTGATTACTGAAGCAGTGATCTAGATCTGTGAAATATAGCATGCATTAATTTCAACTCTTCTTATTAATAACCTCATTGTTTCTTTTTTTTCAGGTTCGAAGGAAGGCTGAAAAGCTCATAGGCTGATTATGAAGCAGTGATCTAGATCTGTGAATCATAGCATGCATTAATTTCAACTCTTCTTATTAATAACCTCATTGTTTCTTTTCAGGTTCGAAGGAAGGCTGAAAAGCTCATAGGCTGATTATGAAGCAGTGATCTAGATCTGTGAAATATAGCATGCATTAATTTCAACTCTTCTTTTAATAACATCATTGTTTCTTTTCAGGTTCGAAGGAAGGCTGAAAAGCTCATAGGCTGATTATGAAGCAGTGATCTAGATCTGTGAAATATAGCATGCATTAATTTCAACTCTTCTTATTAATAACCTCATTGTTTCTTTTCAGGTTGAAGGAAGGCTGAAAAGCTCATAGGCTGATTATGAAGGAATGATCTAGATCTGTGAAATATAGCATGCATTAATTTCAACTCTTCTATTATTAATAACCTCATTGTTTTTCTTTTCAGGTTCGAAGGAAGGCTGAAAAGCTCATAGGCTGATTATGAAGCAGTGATCTAGATCTGAAATATAGCATGCATTAATTTCAACTCTTCTTATTTAACCTCATTGTTTCTTTTCAGGTTCGAAGGAAGGCTGAAAAGCTCATTGGCTGATTATGAAGCAGTGATCTAGATCTGTGAAATATAGCATGCATTAATTTCAACTCTTCTTATTAATAACCTCATTGTTTCTTTTCAGGTTCGAAGGAAGGCTGAAAAGCTCATAGGCTGATTATGAAGCAGTGATCTAGATCTGTGAAATATAGCATGCATTAATTTCAACTCTTCTTATTTATAACCTCATTGTTTCTTTTCAGGTTCGAAGGAGGCTGAAAAGCTCATATATCTGTGAAATATAGCATGAAGGACTCTTCTTATTAATACCTCATTGTTTCTTTCAGTTTCGAAATGAAAAAGCTCGCATTGATTATGAAGGGTGATCAACTGTGAAATATCTACATTAATTTCAACCCTAATTGTTTTCTTTTCAGGTTCGAAAAGGAAGACTGATTAAAGGAGTGATCTAGAGAAATATAGCATGCATTAATTTCAGGGCTTATTGATTATGAAGGAGTGATTATGAAGGGTGATCTAGATCACTGTGAAATATAGCATGCATTAATTTCAACTCTTCTTATTAATAACATCATTGTTTCTTTTCAGGTTCGAAAGAAGGCTGAAAGTTCATAGGCTGATTATTAAGGAGTGATCTCGATCTAAAATATAGCCTGCATTAATTTCAACTCTTCTTATTAATATCATCATTGTTTCTTTTCAGGTTCGAAGGAAGGCTGAAAAGTTCATAGGCTGATTATGAAGGAATCATCTAGATCTGTGAAATATAGCTTGCATTAATTTCAACTCTTCTTTTTCACTGATATCTTACTGTTCAAAGAAGACTTTCAAAAGTAACTAGTAGTGACTTTTCTTTTATCAAGTACCTGAAGAAAAAAGGTTTACTCCCCCCGACACACACAAACCCAAGGACATTTTTGCTGCATTACGGGATAGCGCTCCAGCTTCATCAACATTGCAAAATTGTCAGTAAAATTTTGAAGATGTATCAAGGTCTGGACGTTTCTAATCTGCCACCACCGTGGAAAATATGGTTATGGATGATAAGCTATTGACTCTACATTAAATAGGCAATGCTATTATCTTAACCCGTGAGAGATTTTAGGATATTCTGCACAATAAACTAGACATGACAAAGGTTTCTGCTCGGTGGGTGCCTCGTCTTCTAACATCTGATCCAAAGTGCACCAGGCTGATCACATCATGGAAATATTTGACATTTGGCAGATTCAGTTGGTTTCCTTGAACGTTTCCTAACCCAGTATCATGTTTAGGTTCATCACTTTGAGCCAGAGACAAAGAGACTATCCATAGAGTGGAAACACCCCTATTCCAAAGAAAGACAAGGTAGATTCATATGCAGGAAAGGTTATGGATTCAGTTTTGGGGATGTAAAAAGCATTTATTGACTATCTTCAAAAGGGCCACATCATCAATGGGGAAAGAGTTATGAAAGGCTATCAAGATCAAAAGCCCAGGGAAACTTACAAAAGTGCCCTGTTTCATCAGAACAATGCTCCAGCATAAAAGTCCTTCATGACAATGGCTGCTATGCGTCACTATGGCTCTGAACTGGTTGATCATCTGCCCCATTCGACTGATTTGACTATTCATTTGTTCCCCAATATTAAAAAAACACTCGACTGTGAATCAGTATCGTAGTCATGATGACGCCATATCTGTGGTTGAGCAGTCTTCTTTGAACAGTTAGATATCAGTTTACCTAGAAAAAAACAATTCAGTTATTAACAAGAAGAGTTGAAGTTAATACATGCACCATTTCACAGCTCTAGCATCACTCCTTCATCAGCTCACCCTCGTATATAGATATCATACAGTTTAATTTATAAATAAGGTGCGATAACTAATAAAAAATAGAACAATTATAACATACTGGAATAAACGTACTGGGACAAGATTCTTACATTTTTTAAAATTTCCTCGTTAACTCAAAAACTTTCATATTTTTATTTAAAGGAAGCATTTCACACCTTGCTAGAATGTCAAAATTGCCAGCATTGCACTTTGGAATCATTATCAAATTTCATCCCTTTTCAAGAGAAGTGGCTAAACGTTACTATCAATGTCTTATTTGAACAGTCAGATGTCAGTTTATCTAGCAATAATCAATGCAGTTATTAATAAGAAGAGTTTACATTAATGCATACGAGATCTCACAGCTCGAGCATCATGCCTTTGTAGTCAGCCTATGAACTTTTCAGTCCGCCCTCATACCTAGAAAAAAAAAACAATGGAGTTATTAATAAGAAGAGTTGAAATTAATGCATGCAAGATTTCACAACACTAACATCACTCCTTCATAGTCTATGAAGTTTGCACACCACATTTGTATATCGTAAATTCTGCGTGATCAATTAATTATTTATAAACTATAAAAAACAGATCTGTTATTTCATGGTAAACAGAATAGGAAATTATGGCTAGTTTAATCATACCATCAAAAATGACTTTATGTTCTGTTATGTCGTTACTAATAGTAAGACGTTTTTAAATATGAATCTTTAAATATATCTTTTATAATTATTATAGTGCTCTTTTTACCTCCCGGTTCGAAATATCTTCAAATTATCCGCCATTATCACAACAAAAACCCTGCCACATAGTGGAGTCGCTTATGCAAGTTATATAACTCTGGTACAGCAAATGTTGACAGAAATATAG